ACCATCGATAATCTTCACTGTCAGATTTTCACGGGTGAATTCAATTGAACAGGAAATAAACGCACAAAGCAACACATCCATCTGAGACAAAGACAAGCGACCTTACCTTGGCATTAGATAGGGTTTCTTCCTCTGCTCTGTCATGAGGGAGCTCCTCCAAAAGGTCCTCAGGGGAGTCTGGCAGGCGGGGGTGGGGGGACACAGAGTGACTGTCAGTCATTGGTGGTGTTGCTCAGGAATGACTTGGAGAGGTTTTGTTGCCTTGGGCAAGGAGACAGGCTGCATGGATGTGGTGGGTAAAACAAGCATGACTCAGCTGCTGCCGGGCCAACTGCCTTGGTGGACAAGGGAAGGCAAAGGAGAGGAGGAAAAAAGAAATGAGACAGAGCCCTTGGCTTTTCAGCTGAAGGCAACCTATATCATTGTACAAATGGTACTAAACTCCATGTTATGATTCAATGACCGAGTCCCATCACTCATCCTGCCCATTTTGAAGTCCAGCTAAATTGCTATTTATATTTTTTTGATGTGGACTGCTTTTAAAGTCTGTTTGAAGCCTATTGAATTGGTTACAATATTGCTTTTGTTTTTCCTTTTGTTTTTATTTGGCTGCTAGGCATGTGGGATCTTAGCTCCTAGAGCAGGGATAGAACTCACGCCTCCTGCACTGGAAGGCGAAGTCTCAAACTCTGGACTCCTAGGCAAGTGCCCACTGCTCTATTTTTAACATCTGCCAAAACCACACTGGCCTCCATGGATTCACATAGGCTGCTACCACATTGATATCTGTTCCTTAGAATTTTGCAGGTGATTACAAGCACACTTTGATTGGGGGACTGGATTGAATTCTAGACAAAATAATCTATTTTATCATTCGACTAACATTTCATCATAAATATAATCAATTATAGAAGATTTGAAACTACTGATATCCTACTATTTAACCACTACTGGACTTCCCTGGTGGTCCAGTGGATAAGACTCCGTGCTCCCAATGCAGGGGGTCCAGGTCCATCCCTGGTCAGGGAACTAGATCCCACATGCTGCAACTAAGAGCTGGCACAGCCAAAGGAAAAATAAAATAACCACTCCCCCAAAAAACCTGTCCTAAGTACTAACATCCATTAATTAAAAAAAAAAAAAAAAACAACTGCACTGTTTCACGGAGAGACAAGCTTCTGCTAATATTCAGCCATCAGCTAATATTCAAACATTAAAATCCAGACATTGTTGACTATTACATGTAAACAAACCTGAGTTGTAAATACACCTTTACTTTTCTGGTCATGGCACAAATAACTTGGCACATTTAAATTTTCATACATGAAAAAAAAGAATATGGCTTAATATTTTTATAGTTTTCTCTTACACACAGTGTACTAAATAAACTTCTATCATTATTCTGCAGTCTATTTAAAGACTGAATTTCTAAAGTACCTTCAACTGACTGGTTTGTAGGGTGCACCTTGGGGTGTGGCAGGATGCCCACTTTTCTGACCCACTGCTGGGGGTGAGGTGCCTATCTTCTTGACTGAGGATCAAGTTTCCCTTTTGTCTTCATCAGGCCAGATCCTAGGAAATGCATTCATAACAAAGAGAGCTGTTGACATCTTGCTGGCAGAAGAGCCCAGGAAAGTCAGTGATAACTTATTCCCAGTTGAAACCTTTGATCCCCTTATCTGACCAGCTGCCTAGCAGAGCCTCCTGAATCAAACTTGGGCTTTAAGAAGATCTTTCAGCTTGGGGTGCATTTAAAACACTCAAGGGAGAGATGATGTGGGTAAATACCTTTAATTTTTTCTTTTGTCCTCACCATGTGGCATGTGGGATCTTAGTCCCCTGACCAGGGATCGAACCCATTCCCCTGCATTGAAAGCACAGTCTTAAGCACTGGACCACCATGGAAGTCCACCAGATACCTTTACTCAGATGTGGCAACATAGGAAGGCAGGAGAATATAAACTGAGAACATGGGCACTGGTTCAAATTCCTCTAGAAGCAGCACGAACCTAGGAAGATGATGAACTGACCTCTCCCCGAGGTTCTCTGCACTGTTCTTACATAGAGCCTACAGTATCACGGTGTGAGGCTTAAAATGGTTAAATACAAGGAAAGATTAAGAAAGAGTACTTCAGAAGTCCTCTTTAAGTGCTTGCTCAGTAAATGTCCAGAAGCAAAAGCTAGAAACTGGGTCGGATTGCCTCCAGAGAGAGGACTTGGATAGCTATAGGACAGGGAAGGGTGGATGTTTACTTTTCATCCTGTACATGGGAAGGGTGCTTTTGAGGCTCGTGCAGAATACACCTAAATGTTTCCCATGACTCCCCATGTCAGCCTCGTGGCGGGGACAGTGCAGGGGCTGTAGCCCACATGGTGGTGTTGTTACTTAGTCGTTAAGTTGTGTCCGACTCTTTGTGACCCCATGGGCTGTAGCCCTCCAGTTCTCTCTGTCTATGGGATTTCCCAGGCAAGAGTACTGGTGTGGCTTGCTAGTTCACAGAACTGAAATTGAGACATTTTAAGGGCCTCGTCCAGAGTCACATGATGCATGATGGAACTGAGACAGGAATGTAGTTGGTTCCTTGAGGACGGAGATCCCTGAATCTCTAAGACTTCCCAATGATGCCCTATTCGCCAACCAAGGGCTCCTCTCCCCCTCTTTTTCAAAATATCCTGCCCCAGGGTTTCTGCGGGGAGAGAACTGATACCCCGGAGGAGGTCTTGAGCCAAAAGAATGGCTCAAACCCTGAGCCAGCCCCCAACCTCTAGGATTTAATCCTTGACCCCAAACATGACAGATATCTCCAAAGGAAGCCCCTCTGAAGGACCAGGGGAAGTCCAACCATGTGTTCATCCTACCCCAGCGTCTTCACACTGTCAGCTGTCTCACGCCTGAGCCTTCCTGATGACCAGGTGACCACCCTGCGTGACCAGCGGTCTGTTTGACCCCTAAGCTGGCTCAGAACTTAGGACATTCCAAACCAACTGTCACATGATGGCTCTGCCAAGATTTAACTTCCCTTCAACGGGCGAGCCTTGGATGCGCAAGCAGTTCATACAAATTTAACTGGAAAAGTAGCCATCTAGGCTGGTACACTGGGAATTTAATGAATTAAGTCTGTGACCCTCAATGTCTTACTGACTTAAAGAATTTTTTTTTAATTTATTCACTTAGTTTTGGCCGTGCTGGGTCTCCACTGCTACACGGGCTTTTCTCTAGTTGTGGAGAGCAGGGGCTGCCCTCGAGTTGTGGTGAGGGGGCTCCTCATTGCAGTGGCTTCTCTTCTTGTGGAACACAGGCTCTAGGGCAGGAGGGCTTCAGTAGTTGTGACACGTGGGCTCCAGAGCACAGGCCCAGTAGTGGTGGTGAATGGGCTTAGTTGCTCCAAGGCACGTAGGATCCTCCCAGATCAGGGATCGAACCCCTGTCTCCTGCACTGGCAAGTGGATTCTTTGCTATTGGGGGAAGCCACCAGGGAAGCCTCTCACGGACTGCTGAGGTGAGCCACTGTCTGAGCAGCCTGGGCTGGGGAGGGCCTGAGGAAGGGCCCTGGCCTGCACTGGCTCTGAGAGCTCACCCTCCCTACTCATCCTTTCTCACCAGAGTCCAGGCCCTGAAGGTTCCTCCTCCATCCCCAGACCCTGTAGAAGCAGAGGACAGACTCCCGTCTCCTCCTCTGAGAGGGACCTCTCCAGAGCCCCACCCTAGAAACCCCACCCCGGGACTATTCCTGAGGATGACCCAGGCCCTTCTAACTTCTGTCACCAAATGTTTATTTCACTAAACCAATGGCTTTGTCCCTTCTCTGCAATCATCAAGTAAGCAAGCGGAAGCATGCATGCTCAGTCGTACCTGACTCTGCAACCCCGTGGACTGTAGCCCACCAGGCTCCTCTGTCCGTGGGACTCTTCAGGCAAGAATACTGGAGTGGGTGGCCACGCCCTTCTTCAGGGGATCTTCTCAACTCAAGGACTGAACCTGTGTTTCTTCGCATTGGCATTTGGGTTACCACGAGCCCTACCTGGGAAGCCCAACCACTCGTACAAGCCAGTACTTTCCCACACTTGATCAACAGTTCCCTTGACACATAAGGACTGTGCCAAGTAATGAGAAAAAAATTTTACATGATGAAGTTAACATGAGGGTTCTGGAAGGAAGACAGGGAGAGGGAAGGAGTGAGCTGTAGGCAACGGGGGAGGGGGTTGGCAGCGGAGGGAGCAGGACCAGGGCCTCTGTCTGCTGTCCTGAGGACTGAGCACTGGGATGGGGCAACAGCCTCGAACCACCCACCTTTGAGAGGGGAAGGTGGCAGGCGGGGGAAGGGGACGAGTGCTGTATCTCCACGTGCCGGGACTGCTCTGGAAGTAGAGGGGTGAGGGCTAGACGTGGGTTTCAATGGAAACAGGGCTCACGCGAGGCCTAGCCTGGGAGGAAGGTAGACACTGTCTGTCCCCAAAGTTCTCGGCTCAGGTCTTCATCCGCCTCTTAGACCCCAGGAGAGTGGACCGCGCCCTGGAGGAGGAGGACTTGGTTGACGGCTCAACTGTCTTGAGTCCAGCCAAGTCCTCAGCAGGTTGACGGGTCCCTAAGAGGACGGCGTCTCCTGGCTGTGAGCCCCTGGAGCTGGGGCTGCTGGGGGTAGAGGCTGGGGTGGACACGCCCCTGAAGGCAACCTTGGCTGGGGGTGGGCTGTCTTCTCGGCTGGAAGTATGGGGGCTCTGCCCGGGGGCACCCCCAGGCACGTGACTGAAGATGGGGGCAGTAGCACCTCCAAAGCCAGGCTTCTCATGAGTGCTGGGCTTATTCTTAGCAGTGGGCTTATTCTTATCCCTGGGCCCCATAATCACCATGGGGGGGCTCTGGCCAGGAAGGCCCCGGTGTTCTGGGCCACTCTTCCCGCTCTGCTGTGTGTGGTTCTCCGGGCTCCCCTTCTCTGTGTTGAAAGGCTGAGAGCAGCAAAGAGGCAGCTGACATCCAGGACGGACGCTCCACTTCCAACGCCCCGAGGTGCGGCCGAGCCCCCCGGCCTGCAGGGGGCTGTGCGTGATCCACTGACTGCTGGGCAGCGCGGCCCGCTGCGGGGCCCCGCACTGGGCACGGCCTGGGGCACGCAGGTGGCAGCGGCAGGGGCTGGGCCAGCTGGGAATGCAGCCGAGGCCGGCTGGGTGCTGGCACGGGTGCCCATGGGGGAGTTGGTGGGTGGAGCTGGGGGGCCTGGAGCAGAGGTTGGATTCCCCGTTAGGGCTGGAGCTGCCGGGTTTCCACAGTGTGGTGAGTGGCCCCAGGCGGGGGCTCGGCGCTGCTGCACATCAGGGACCCCAGAGGTGGGCTGGGCCGGGGCTCTGGTGTGAGAGGAGCAGCTGAACCGGAGTCCAGGCAGGCTGGTGCTGACCGTGGCAGAGGCCGCGCTGTCCCTGGGGGGTGTCTGCAGGGCCTGGGAAGATGGGAAGAGGCTCCTGCTGGATCCAGGGGGAGACCCGAAGAGGGGAGACGGGGAGGGTGGACTGGTGTCCATGGGGGTGACCTGAGTGTCAGAAGCGGGGTGGGGAGTCAGGCCCCCAGATGTGCAGGGTGAGGGTCTGGTTTGGAGAGAAAACCGGATGAGCTGGCTGATGAGCTGGCCGATGGGGAGCAGGGATTGAGGATCAGATACGGGAGGGGGGCTATGGCGGGTGAAGACAGGAGAGTCCAGGCACATGGGTGTGGGGGACCCCAAGCCCGAGGAGCCCGGCGCTGCAGGGAAGGCCTGTGTGGCATCTTCCGCAGCCGGGCCCCACGCCGGGGGCTGGCAAAGGCCTCCTCCTCCTGCCGCGCTCCTAAGAGGCCCCCGGACGGGCCTCTGGAAGCCGGGAAGCCAAGCCGAACCCGGGGCCCAGGCCGGAGCCGGGCTTCCCCTCGCACCCGCCGTGCCTGTTGCGGGGGCCGAAGCAGGGGCCGAGGGGCTTGGCGGCCGAGCATTCAGGCTCGCGCTGCCCGATCCTGGGGAGGAAGCTTGGGTGGGCAAGGTGAAAGGGCCGGGGGGCCGTGAGTGGGAAGGAGGGCCCGGGAGGGGCTGGGACCTGGGAGACAGGGGCCGGGAGGAGCCGTGCCTTCCCCCTGACCAAGGATGCGCAGCGGGGGCCCCTCCAGCAGACTCCCGGGCGTCTACTGGCGCTGGGGAGGCCGACTCCCTCTGGCCTCTCTCGGGCCGAGGAGCCCTGCCGGGGACCGGAGGGTCGGCCGGCGCGGGGAAGGGACGGTAGGGCTGCGGGGACGGGGTCTCATCCCGCAGCGCGCTGTTGATGCGCCGGAGCGCCGCTGCTTTCTCCGCGTCCAGGTCTCCGGCGGTGACTCGGAAACCCAGCTCAGGGGGTGCGGGCAGCCTCAGCGGCTCCCCTCGCCTGCGCGGCAGCAGAGGAAACCTGCGTTTTCCGGGCCTGGGACTGTCCGATGTGGGGGGGCCATTCTCCCAGGTGCGTTTCTGCCCCCTGGAAGCTTCCGCGTCCTCAGGCCGGCTGTTGCTCTGGGAAGCCACCGGGGCGGCACAGGGCGGCGCCGGGCCCCCGTCGCTCGCTTTCCTCGAGGACCTCCGGGGCAGCCCTCGCGGCATGCGGGGGCCCGTCCTCCTCTGCCCTGGCGGGAAACCTCGGGTGGAGCTGTGGGAGCTCGTGATGGCGTTTCTTTGGGGGCAGGAGCTCACACAAGAGGTCTGGAGTTTCTCGGCGGATGTGTCTACCGAGCTCTCGGCGTGGAGGTTTCTCCGCAGAGGCCCAGGCCTGGGCACGAAGGCAGAGAAGTCTCCCCGGGCCCCAAAGGGCCTAAATGTTGACCGTGCACCCCGAGAGCCATCGGGACCCCCTTTCTGATGGTCCTTCTGTCTGAATGCGGGGTCTCCCTCCTGCTGGGCCAGCCCCTTCCCGCTCTCTCCCAGGGCGCTCCTCACCGTCTTCTCTGTGCAGGAGCCCGGGGCACACCTGAGTGTGGTGGGCGGCACGGGGGTGACCTGCTGCTGGCGCCCACCACACCCAGGGACCGTGCCCACTGCGGACGCTGAGCCGCGGCACATCGTGGAGATGCGAGCACCCAGCACCGGCTTCCTCTGATGGTGTCGCCTGCAGAGGGAGGTGAGGACCCCCAGGAAGGAGCGCAGGGCCTGCGGGATCATACAGCACCATCTCAGAGACGCTCGGACAAAGCGCAGATGCAGAGTCACCGGATACTTGTGGGCTGGCCTGCGAGTGGACAGCGGGGCACGGACAGCTGGGTGACCTGGGCCGGCCACGGAAAACCGGCGGGGGCGGGGATCGGGCTGGGGGCAGCCGAGCCGTCCTGGCAGGTGCTGGCCCCCCAGAGCCCGGGGTGGGGGTGAGGGGCAGGGCCTGCCCAGGTAAGTGCCCATAGGGCACGTGGGTGGGTGGTCGGCGCTTGGATAGAGGGATAACTTCAGAGAGCTCTGGTTCAACTGCCAAGTCAGCCAAAGGTGAAGTGAGCAGTTTGGCGCGTTGCTGGGACGCAGCTCGAGAGCCTGTGAGCAAAGAATGGGCGCCCGTGCACGGGGCGCGCAAAGGGTCCGGAGAGATGGCGCATGCGCGGGGGAGTGTCAGTGTGTGTGTGTGTGTGTGTGTGTGTGTGTGTGTGTGTGTGTGCGCGCCCCTGGGGCGGGGGTGTGTGTGTGTTTGTGTCCCTGGGGCGGCCTAGGGATGCACTGCCGAACTGGGGCGCTCCCAGATCTCCAGGGTCTGTGGGTTGGAGGTTTTTGCCCTGAGAGTGATGAGCTTCTTGACAGGGCACGTACCCCTTCTCCCGGGCTGAGCTCTAATTGTACAGGATCGGTCCCTGCCCAGCAGAGTGGAAACTCTGGGGAGCAGGGTACCTTGCTCAGGAGCCGCTGCATGGGATGGCAGCTTTGACATCAGCACTGCGGGTCCTCCTGCCCTCTCACCTGGTTACAATGGAAAGGAGATCTGCTGGGGTGACAACTGAAATGGCGGCCTGGGCAAGTGGGAGGGACCTATACTCCCTGTGTATTTCCTAGTCCATTCGCGGGGGAGAAGTCTAAGTTCCATGGGTGCTAAATAACACCCAGAGATCTCCTAATCACAGAGAAAATCCATTGTGAACTCAGGGATATCTCAAGAAGCTGGACACACCCCATAGGTCAAGCCCACCTCAGCCCTGAGACACTCTCCTGCCTTCTGTTTCAGCTGAGCTCAGACTGAGTCTTAGCCTTTCTCCATTACTACAGTAGTCTTCCATATCATCTTCCTTGCCTGTTTAACTTTTTTTCCCCCTTTTTTTTAGCCACACTGGCCATGAGGGTTCTTAGGTCCCCACTGGGGTTGGAACCTGCAGGGTTCCGCCTGCAGTGGAAGCTGGTGTCTTAACCACCGGACCTCCATGGAAGTCCCCTGTTTAAGTTGTTTTGGGTGCAATTTTTGCTTTGACCACAGGAAAATGTAGAGGCTTTACGGCAATATAGATTCTGTTACCCTTTGCTTATAGTTGTCATGGGCTTCTCCCCACCCTGCAGTGTTAACAGCTTGGTATTAAGCCCCCAATGGGCAAGGGAAGGAGAACGCTGTTATAGACGGGAAAAGGAGGTTGGGCGGGCTCTAGAAAAGTGGTCTTGGCTTTTCATCGGCTGAAACCTTGCCAGGAAAGCAAAGGAGTCTTCCTTCTTCCTGTTGTGCTCTGCTATGGTCCTTTAAAGTGCATGAGCGCTCCCACTCTGGCCTCCCAACTCTATTTGATTGAAGTTTCTGTTTATTAATTTTTTACAGAAGCATCATGGCTGAGGTTGAAAACAAGTCTTGTCTTCTCTAGGTGTCTTCAATGAATTAAACAGCAAACAAAGTGACATACCGTATGCCCATCTGGGTCGTAAAATAAAGATGAGTGGATAGATGCCACCCACCTGGTCAATGAATAAAATGACACTATTAATTCGTAATTGTTTTCCACCTTAAAACAATAGCCATTTATTTATTTGTTTTCATTTAATTGTATTGGTTGGAGGCTAATTACTTTCCAATATTGTAGTGGTTTTTGTCATACATTGACATGAATCAGCCATGGATTTACAAGTATTCCCCACCCCAATCCCCCCTCCCACCTCCCTCTCCACCCGATTCCTCTGGGTCTTCCCAGCGCACCAGGCCCAAGCACTTGTCTCATGCATCCAGCCTGGGCTGGTGATCTGTTTCACCCTAGATAATATACATGTTTCAATGCTGTTCTCTCGAAACATCCCAACCTCGCCTTCTCCCACAGAGTCCAAAATTCTGTTCTGTACATCTGTGTCTCCTTTTCTGTTTTGCATATAGGGTTATTGTTACCATCTTCCTAAATTCCATAGATATGCGTTAGTATACTGTATTGGTCTTTCTCTTTCTGGCTTACTTCACTCTGTATAATGGGCTCCAGTTTCATCCATCTTATTAGAACTGATTCAAATGAATTCTTTTTAATGGCTGAGTAATATTTCATGGCTGAGTAATAATACCATAGCTTCCTCATCCATTCGTCTGCTGATGGGCATCTAGGTTGCTTCCATGTCCTGGCTATTATAAATAGTGCTGCGATGAACAACAATAGCCATTTATTGTCACACAGTTCTGTAAGTCAGAAGTCCATTCTGGCTAAATTGGATTCCTTACTCATGGTCTGGAGGTGTGAGGCCAGCTGCCTCCTTTGATTGTTTTAGATGACACCCAGAGAACCAGGAAAGTGTAGGGAGGATGAAAATCAGGAGAAAATATAAAAGGAAGTCAGGCTGATTTCAAATTATTACATTTTAAAAAAATACTTTTTGTCCACGCCTTGAGGCATGCAGGATCCTAGTTCCCCCACCAGGGATCGAAACCCATGCCCCCTGCATTGGAAGTACATCATAACCACTGGAACACCAGGGAAGTCCCTCAAATTATTACATACAATTGTTTATCATCCCAGAGTAACTGTTTGTGGCCTACTTTTTTCTGGATATCTTTGTATTTGTCCAAAATCAAGGCCACAGACTCTGCTTTAGACTAAGTTGTTCACTTTAAAGAATTTTGAAGATCACACCAATGGGCTTCCCTGGTGGTTCAGTTGGCAAACAATCCGCCTGCAATGCAGGAGACCACGATTCAACCCCTGGGTTAGGAAGATCCCCTGGAGAAGGAAATGGCAACCCACTCCAGTATTCCTGCCTGGAGAATCCCAGGGACAAAGAAGCCTGGCAGGCTACAGTCCATGGGGTCTCAAAGAGTCAGGCATGATTGAAGCAGCTTAGCACGCACAACCCAATTAAAACTGGTAACAGATTCTGTTAGAAATGTTTATAAATTGTCCTGGGAGAGAAACAGAAAGCAATGTTTTGCCTGGAGACAAAAGGAGTGGTTCCTAGAGTAAGGAACAGCTGATCAATGGGCATTGGGTGCAGCGGAATTTCGCTGTCATTCAGGGTTAAACGCCTCCAGGAAGAAGGAAAGCTGAACATTTACCTATGAATTTAAACTCCTGTAATTTTTAATATTGTCACCCTGCTCACTTAACTTATATGCAGAGCGTATCATGGGAAATGCAGGCTGGATGAGGCACAAGCTGGAATCAAGATTGCGGGGAGAAATATCAGAAACCTCAGAAATACAGATGACACCATCCTTATGGCAGAAAGTGAAGAAGAAGTAAAGAGCCTCTTGATGAAAGTGAAAGAGGAGAGTGAAAACGTTGGCTTAAAGCTCAACATTCAGAAAACTAAGATCATGGTATCCGGTCCCATCACTTCATGGGAAATAGATGGGGAAACAGTGGAAACAGTGACAGACTTGATTATATTCTTGGGCTCCAAAATCACTGCAGATGGTGATTGCAGCCATGGAATAAAAAGACACTCACTCCGTGGGAGTCAAGTTATGACTAAGCTAGACAACATATTGAAGAGCAGAGACATGACTTTGGCAACACAGGTCCATCTAGTCAAAGCTATGGTTTTTCCAGTAGTCATGTAGGGATGTAAGAGTTGGACTATAAAGAAAGCTGAGTCCTGAAGAATTGATGCTTCTGAACTGTGGTGTTGGAAAAGACTCTCGAGAGTTTCTTGGACTGCAAGGAGACCCAACCAGTCCATCCTAAAGGAGATCAGTCCTGAATATGCATTGGAAGGACTGAAGCTGATGATGAAATTCCAATACTTTGGCACCTGATGCAAAGGACTGACTCACTGGAAAAGACTCTGTTGCTGGGAAAGATTAAAGGCAGGAGAAGGAGATGACAGAGAATGAGATGGTTGGATAGCGTCACTGACTCGATGGACATGAGTTTGAGCAAGCTCTGGGAGTTGGTGATGGACAGAGAAGCCTAGCGTGCTGCAGTCCATGGGGTCAGAAGAGTTGGACACCACTGAGCGACCAAACTGAACTGAACTGAATTTTTAATAATCTTGTGAGGAGGAGATAGTCAGGATATTGTAGTTATCAAGAGACAAACGGCTACAAAACTAAGCGGTCACAGGATCAGATGGGTCCTTGCCTTCTGGTGGATATTTCAGAACGTGGAAGGGAGGTGAGAGGTCTCGCTTAGAACATGGAAGAGCAAGGTCCTTTCATAGACTTTGACACAGTGCCACCTAGTGGGTTGCTGTGAGATGGCTAAACCCTTTCATGATGACTGACTCAATGGACATGGTCTGTCTCTCAGTCGTGTCGAACTCTTTGCAACCGCATGGGC